ATGCCTGGAACAGGGAAAAGCAGGGTGGAAACAGAAGGGAAGCAAGAAGGAGTAAACAGTGACAGAAAAGATCCTGTACCACAGTCCTCCCTGCAGAAGGAGGCACCTCTCCCCTGGCAGTTTGGTCTCTGCTTTGCCCTTGCAAGAAAGGCTCCCTGAGCCAGCAGCAAAGTGCTGAGTGGAGCCAGGACCAGCCAGGGGGGTCCCCAAGAGCCACGGCAAGGGGAGATGCCTGGAGCTCACTGCTTGCTCACAAGCTCTTGAATGACTCAGCCTGGATGGGCATTACAATTGCCTTAGCCAGGGATCTGATTAAAGCAATAAAACCCTTAAAGGAAGAAAGCCCTCCAGGTGAAGTCTGCTGAGTCTGAGCAGCCACACGAGTGGGCTGAGGGAGCTCTGGGTGTCCTGGAGCCCCACGCTGCTCTGCCTTCCCTCCTTCAGCTCTTGCCAGGCCCATCTGATGCTCAGCAGGCTGCAAGAGGTGTCTGTGCAGGGTTTGGTCTTCAGCTCAGGTGTTATTCCTCCTGCTGAGCACAGACCTAGCAAACAGCCAGAGCTTCCCAGAGCTGCAGACACCAGTGCCTCATCCCCAGCCAGCCACAGCTTTGCCCCTTCCAGTCCCAGACCTGAGATCTGGGTCTGTCCCTCTCCCCTTCCCAATCTGATGAGTGCAGGGGCTGCTCCTCCCCCAGCCTTGATCATCTCAGCCCTCTAACCAGTCTAGTGTGGGGACCGTTCCATTAACAGCACTGGAGTCCTTCAATGCTGCTCTCACCTACCACCCCAAGTGGGGATCTTGAGGGGGAAATCACTCCTTGGTACCAAACAGGCATCAACATCTACACAGAGGGATCCTTGCAGGCACTGACTCTCCCGCAGCAGCTCAGCCTTCCTCCTCCGGGGTGTCCCCGCTCAGCAGCCCCTTCCCTGCTCCCCCCGCCCCTCTGCAGCCCCCGCCGGGGCTGAGCAGCACAAACAAACGGTGATCACATTCCAGACTGATGCGATCAGACACGGCATCCGGGAGCGAACGCATCTCGTCGCCAGGGCAACCGGAACCCTTGGGCTGACATGCCTGCATCTGAAAGCTTAAAAGATTATCCCTCAGCAATACAAACACTCTGTGTGCGTGTCTGCTGGGAGGCCTGGCACCCTGCTGTGGGTGCAATCCCCTGAGAGTGCCTGGGATTCACCTGGACCCTGGGGACTCACCTCTCCACTGTCCCCACTCATCTCCCACCTTTCATGCTAGATCCCTGGAGCTGCAGGCTCCCCAGCAACAGCTTGTGTACCTGGAATCAGGGCTGGGGATGTGGCTGGGGGTGGGAAGGGAGGCTGGAGCCTGCTTTGAGCTGCAAAGAGAGGCAGGAGGATGCTAGACATCCTCTTCAGGCTTCAGACATGGAAATGTTTTCTCTGCACTACAGAAACATGCTTTGACAACAAAGATGCTGGCACTAGTGAGCGGCTGCATTAACCAAGTCTCCATGCTGGTGCTTTCCTCAGAGCCAAGAATCAAGGCTCCAAGCAGTGCTGCTCCTTCTGCAGGGAAGGCAAAGCCTGACACTTGCTTTGGAGACCATTCCCCCAGCCCATGGCTCTGATCTGGCTCCCTACCTAAGCAAGTCTGACCGGAGGCACTGCTGGTTGCACCACTAAGAGCAGATGAAAGAAAAGTATCCCTCAACTCCAGGACCAGGAAAGATACTTCATCTGCCAGGTGAGGATGAGGGGAAGTGGCCTTTCCACCTCCCCCCTGTCCTCTCACCCCTCTCAAAATGGTGCAAAGGCTTCACACCTACAAAAATCTGGGATCCACAAATTGCAGCCTGAATCCTTCCCCCTTTGCCACCTTCTGGAATGCCAGCAGCTATGGGCAGCTAAATATAAACTTTCTTGCAGAGGAAGTGAGGGGAGGGGGGTTAAAAATAGCTCAGACATTGGTAGCTGTGTCTCCTGCTCTGCCCAAGCTGCCCTGTTCTCATTATCTTTATGGCTCTGTGCATTCGTGGCTGTTCTCTCCAGCTAGACCCAGACCTACTTGGCATCTGGTGATGGAGTTGACATTAAAGGGTTGGTCTGCTGGAATTTATGGGACTGTTCTTGTTCTCAGCCCTCCACTCCTCCCAGAGAGGAATTCATCCTGCCCCAATAGCCACTGGGATCCATCCCAGGTGCCCCAAAGTTGGGATCTGCTTCCTTCCTGCAAGCCTGACATCCCACAACCCTGCATGCCAGAAGCATCTCACAGGGCAGGTAGTTTGGGGTCCCTGGTGGGCACCCCCCTCCCCCCCACGCTGCCCTGAGCAGCACCCTGGGGTGCAAGGGGCTTCATTCTCCCTCCAGCTGCTTTTCTGAAAGAAGGCAGCCCCTTTTACAGCTGACCAGAGCAGCCCAGCCCTTTCCCCCAGCACGGATTTCAAAGGAAGATTTGGTAGCAACTGCCTCTTGTTTTCCACCACATTTCACAGGAGGGTACAAAAGGAAGTGGAGGCATTTGTTGACTTTGTGAGGGAAGGTGACACTTGCTAAGCAAAGCAATGACATCACTTGTTTTACAGCCTGAAGGATCTCAAAGGGAATTACAGCAACCCCTGAACTCTACTCGTCTGTGGGATGGAGAAACCAGCTGATGAAGCACACACAGAAACATGACATTGCAGGGTAGGACACGAAGGGAAGGAGCAGCCTAAAATGGCAAGAAGGAATTTAGGCACCAACAGGCAAAACCAAAATCACTCAGGATGGAATTTGGCCAAGGAACAGGGATCAAAGCCAGCAGTGAGAATGATCTGCATTTGCTGTAATATAGTCAGATAGTAAATACTTGGCTAAAACACTTCAAAGAACCCAAAGCTGGATCCTGTCAGGATAGCTCATCACATGAGCAAGACAAGTTGTTAACGACTCTGCATTCAAAGCCCTGCTCTAGCAATAACCCAGCTCACTGTTGTCCAGCTAACTGTTCCCACAGGCACTGGGGCTGTGACTGTCCACACAAACCTCTCTTGCATTTGTACAGCAAAACCCACTGGGGAATTCAAGAGACAGGTATTTTAGGCACAGACAACCCATCCTCAGAGTATGAAACTGCCCCTTCCTCCTTCAGAAAGAAGCTTTTTTATTGCTTTTCACTAATGATAAGTGGCTCCATTTTTTTTCTTACCATTTAAACAGACTCCTGCCCCCATTTCCCTGCTGAAAGGGTGGAAGTCTTGGAGGGAATAGTATGCTTTTTTTTTAAAAAAAAAGCTTTCTTTTTTTTTCTTTTTATCCCCAGAGAGATTAACAGTTGTGTTTACAAGGCAAAATGAACAGTCCTATTCAGCAGTTAGGGCTCACACTTCAAGCTATTAGGTAGCATTGATTTAGTCCTGCAGGAATCAGAGAAATGGTGAGTCCTGCTCATGGAGCTCTACTTGCTCTGCAAACAGTTTTCATGCAGTGGTGCCTGTGGGGACAGGGCTAAGGAAACAAGGACTGGAGGCACCAGTTGAATATGTGCCCCTCCTGGCATGGCAAGGCATGGAGACAAAAATCAGAGAGACAAAAGCTCACCAGCAGCACAGCCCATGTGCCTGCAGCAGGTCCCTGTTTTGGGCAGCCCATGTGCTCCTTCCCAAGCTCCAGCACTGAGGAGGGGCAGGGAAAAGTAGCACAAGTTGCCAAGACTCCTGCATGGTGATGGGAGAGATTTTGGCCCCTCCGTGGTGCTCATTCCTGTGCAAACAGGAGCTCAGCACAACCTAAATTCCTCCCCCATTCCTCAGCAGAGCCAGAGCTGGGTGCCTGGGAAGAGGGGGGATATTTGGGGTTGTTCTGGGGAGCCAGAGAGAAGTGACAGCATGCTGGGGATGCCTGACACACACCAGGGCTACGGTGAATTTTCTGCAGCAGCTGAGAATCCTACCAGGGTAAGGTTGGACGGGAAGGGAGGGATATCAGCCCCCAACCACCAAATTAATGTCTCCCCAGCTGCTCAGCTGTTGGCATGAAATCCTCCCCGGGGTAACGAGCTCCCCAGACACTCCCTCCCTGTGACAGATGCTGCAAAGCAGAGCCCAAGTGCCCGGGCAGATTAGCTCAGTTGGACAGAGGATGCTTTGAGCTGCAGTGAGGACTGGCCTGGCCCTGCAGAGCCAGGGCCACATCCTGCTCAGCTTCTGGGTTGGGCAGTGGACCCTGCCCATTTAAACAGTGGGTTTGCAGCCATTACTCTCCCTAAAAGGTGAGTGATGAGGGGAGAGAGCAAGGTCAGCTCTCCTCCCTCCACATTTGCCTCCCGCTGCTCAGATCTGCTATTCAGGGGGATTGACATTTCCCTCCTACACAGGGAGTAAAGCTCCTGCCAGGAGGTCAAGGTCCTGCAGGGATGGGAGTGCAATCAATTCCTATTAGTCTACAGGAGCCCTGTAGCAAACAGCAAGACCATCATCCCAGGGCAATGACTGCACTGGGCATGACTGAGAAGGGAATGTTGGGTCTCCAGGGAGTCAGCCTATCCTTGCATTGCCTTTTTTTCCTGTGCTACTGGCTTCCATGATTACAACACTTGCAGTGCACTAGGAATGTGGTTATGGCAGCCTGCA